GAAGAAGACTCTGAGGAATCAAAGGATTACCTAAATTTTGTGTATAGAACAGGGGTAAGACAACTGATTCTTTGTAGAGAAGTATATACTTTCTTATGTTTTCTATGGAGTACTTAACATAAGCATTCTGGCCAAGAAGTTATACGTTTTAAATATGTACCTTTAAGATGGACATTTACAGCTATTTTTTAAATAGAGAAAATGGTAGTGATTATTTAACCTCTTTAATAAGTTACGATCATGTAAATTTTATTGTACCTGAGTTAAAAGATAGGTATGAGTTAATAGACAACTGAAGAAGGAAGGGTAGGGAACACAAGGTAAGGGAGGAGGGGAAAAGAAAAGAAAACCCCATAAAGCTACATAAAAGGAAAAGAGGAAGATTTTCCATAGGCCATTGAACTTTAAAGGGACTATAAATGAGCTATTTTAAGAATATACTTGTTGGAACTAGGTTTATTAAGTGAAATGGGTAAGGAAAACCCTCTGTAATTAATTTCTTATCTATTCAAAAAATAACGTAAGAATTTGAAAGAATTATAGATAGAAATTCCAAAGTAATATTACTGTAGTTTTTTTCCTCAAAATATAGTGTCTTCTATTTAAAGTATCATAATATGGACTACCATAGAAAAGTATTATAGTTAAAGGAAGTTATTTTATGAAGCTTGAGACCATTTTTTGTCAGCCTCATATAGTCAATACATGTGAAGAATTTACCTGTTTTGAATATCCTAAAAGAATGGATTTTTCAGGGTGATTAAGAAAATCCATACTATAAATTACTTAAATGAAAATAAAGTATTTACGTGATTACTAAAGGAGTTCAACTATAATTTAAAATATCGGTATTCTATAAGCATAATTTGAGGTTGAAAACTTTCTAAAATATAATCGGATCTTTAAAATGTTTTGAGGATATAGATCTTATTCATATTTCTATTTTCTCTGGCGTTTATTAATACAGCCTTATGCTTTTCATCCTAATGTTAATATATTTATGTTTTTCATATTTCTGTGTAGATAAAATTCTTTGAGGGATATTAGGTATCCCTATTCTGTTTTATTGCAGCTAACCTTTAAATCGTGATTTTTTTAAGCGTGCTGATGACATTACAAGTTTCGTAACAGATACTACACTCCTTGTACATTTTTTTGGAAAAAAGGGAAAAGCTGAGCTCAACTTTGAAGATTTTTATAGGTGAGCTTACTTTTTTATTTGTATTGAAAGTGTTAACATGCTAAAGCCATAAAAGTCTTTAGAATTAGAATTATCTAGTACAGTGATACCTCTATGCTGCTTTCATCTTATGTAGGTGTACTATGTATAGCAAATATTCACTTTCATCAGTATCTGTATACCAGTGGTTATACTGATAAATATAACAAGAAATTACTGAATCATTAAAAAATGGTTATCTGGATTGTTATTTTCTGTATATTCAGAATATTACCAATTTGTGTGTAGTGTTTATTATAGTAAACAGTAGACACTGCACACTAATTCCTTTAAGTGTCTTAACTACTCTGCACGGTATTTTTGTTATCCCCATTTAAGAGATGAGGAAGCCAAAGCCCTGAGAGGCTAAGAACCATCTGTTACCATCACTCTTCGTTAATCTTATTTATTCTTTATTTTTGTCATAGATTCATGGATAACCTCCAAACAGAAGTTCTAGAAATAGAATTCCTTTCCTACTCTAATGGGATGAATACTATCAGTGAAGAAGATTTCGCTCATATTCTTCTACGATATACAAATGTAGAAAATACATCAGTATTTTTGGAAAATGTGCGTTACAGTATATCCGAAGAAAAGGTATCTAATCCTCCATATTTATTTTGTTACATAGGTTATCTTGTAATCATATAGGTCTATAAAATAGAGAGTTCATTTTGGTAGTTCTTTTACTCCTCTTTAAATTAATAGATATTTTGGATATATTTTATTCTTTTTTCCTGTGTGTCCTAAATGCTCTGGCTAAATTTTAAAAATTGATTAATTTAAAATCCTAGGTAGAAATCCATATTTTTCTTAGATATTTTAAAAACTCTAAGGTTGTTAGCAATTATTTTATTCAAATTATAAATGTCGTTTTCCAAGAGAATTCTGCTGAGCTATATGCTTTGACTGCTACATAAACATCTCCTCTTATGAAGCAGTTTTTATTGATATCATTTCAGTCACACAATTCATTTCTATAATACCCTTAATAAAAAGGTCATTTGAAGATGAGTAATCTTATCAGCAATAAGTAATCTTATGAGTAATAAAAGGTCATTGAAGAGCGAGTAATCTTATCAGCAAAGTAAGGTTTTTTTCAGAGTTTGGATGACATGAATGGTTAAGAACCTGGGACAACTGATTGTCTATTTGTTTAGTTGCAAGTGTTTTGTCAGCAATTCTTAGCAGTTGTGCATTATCTAGTGGTATTTGAATGCATCATTGCAACCAAATAGAACTGGTGTTACAGGTACCCCTTCAAGCGTGGGATGTTTTGGATATATTGCCTTCTATTTGTGTTTGTACAAGGATCAAGTTAATCTGTCCAAGAAAAACTTGCAAATAGTTTGACTTCGTTTAAAATGGATACATTGACAGTGCTAACAATTCTCCATGTCCTCTAAGGAATGAGAAAACAGGACTTGATGCATTTGGCCATTAGTTTACATAAATCTCTTAATTAGGGATCTTTTTCCTGTTTTACATGTTAAACTGAATTTTTCCAATTCATAGACACTTCCATAAAAATAAAAATTGGAAATTGTACTATGTCAAACTACAAGGGTATTTTTTAGGGCCTTAAAGAATCTTTTTTTATTCTTTCATCACATGGACACTGATAGAAATCTGTAATGTTTAAGTTTAATTCCAGGATGAAGAGTGCTTGGGACCTCCTTGTACTATTTTTGAAACTGTTTTCCATATCGAAAATTATTTCAAAATAAAAAAATTTTCTTTTAAGTTGAATTCAGCTTCTCTGAAAACTTCCAATTGTTAGAAGTATCATGAGCACTACAAATCATTACAGTAAAAAGAGAAATTTGGCAACTGAACCACCATTGCTTCTCATTGAAATTTTTTTTTTTTTTTTGGCACTATCTCATCAATCTTTAGAACACCTTCCAGATATTGACATCTTTCTTTTAGAAAAAGGGAAGCTGAGGCTCTCAGGTACTTAGACACTTGCCCAAGGATTCAAACCCAAGACCCTAAGCCAAGGAATGATAATACTACCACATCCTATTTATGTCTTTCCCTTCCTTTTGCCCCTCATCCCCTTCTCTCCAAAAGAATAGCAACTACTACTATTTGAATAGCAGTTTATATTTCTAAAATACTTTAATTTCCATTCATTTATCTAGCAGATATTAAACATCTACTGTTTACTAGGCCTTATTCTAGCCACTGTGGATCAAGGAACAAGCAATATCGTTCTTTCTTGGAAATCAGTAGTGGAGAGATACAGTAAACAAGTAAAAAGTAAATAAATGACATTTTCAGATAACGGTAAATATTATGAAGAGAACCAAAAGTCAGGGAGAGTGAGAAAGATGTACTGTTAAGGAAAGCTTTTCTGAAGAGGTAGCTTTTGAGGAAAGACTCAGGAATGACCTGTGCAAAGATCTGGACGAAGAATATTCTAAGCAGAGGAAACAGCAAATACCAAAGTTTGCCAACCGTGCATTAGAGCATAGGTGTGATGTTCATTCATTCAGCAAGTATTTATTCAGCAAGTATTTGCTGTCTACTGTTACACTCAAATATGATCTGACTGATGTGCTAAATGTGATTGGATTCATGTTTCAAAAAAATCATCTTGGCTGGTACAGAATAAACTTTAGTTGGACTAGCTTTGAAAGAAAAAGGCAAATTAGGGTGTTGTTATAGCAGTACAGGAAAAAGATGCATGGCTTGGATCAGGGTCAGAGTAGAGAAAAGTGGTCAGATATTGGATCATTTAAAAAGTCGAGCTGATAGAACTTGTTGCTGGATTATACTTCAATGTGAAGGAAAAAGAGGAATCAAGAATTTTTAAGTTTTAACCTGAACCACAAGGTGAAAGAGTGATGCCATTTACTGAACTCTGAAGGAAAGAATCAATAGTTTTATTTTGGGCAAGTAAGTCTGAGACTCCTATGAGATATCTAAGTGAAGAAATTATGCAAGCAGTTGGATATTTGACTCTAGTGCAGTCAGGGCTACTTTTGGTAATCATTAGTATTTAAGCTGTGTATCCAGCTTAAACTTCTCCCCTGAATTTCAGACTTTTACATTATACTGCCTACTCAGCATCTCCACTTGGGTATCCATTAGACATCTTAGGCTTAATAGTTACAAATCTAAACTGATCATCCCAAGAAATTTTGCTCCACATACCATCTTCCCAGTTTCAGTTAGTGGAAACTCCATCTTCCTAGTTGTTCTAGCCAAAATTTTCAGACTCTTTCCTTTCACATTCTACTTACATTCCATCCACAAATGCTCTTGACACTGCTTCTATCAGAATTTGACCATTTCTTACCATCTCCATTGCTGCCACCCAAGTCACCATTCTCTCTTGCCTGGATTATTGTAGTTGCCTCCTAAATCATCTCTCTGCTTTCAGCTTTACCTCTCTACAGTCTGCTCTCTGTTTAGCATTTAAGGAAATGCTTTATATCATGATTCAGATTTTACAGTAACTCTTTATTTTTCTCAAAGTAAAAGCCAAAATTTTTACGAAAAGGCCTGTAGAAATTGTTCCCTCATTACCTTTGACTTCATTTCCTGTCGTTCTCCACTTGTTCACTCTGTTCCAGGCACACAGCCACTTTACTGTTTCCCAATACCAGGCAATCTTATATTTCAGGGCTTCTTTGTATATGTTCTTTTCACTGCCTAGAATACTCTTCTCTTAGATAGCCACATAGCTTACTATATTATTTCTCAATGATGTGAGAATCTAATATATAAATAATTACCTATTTGTAAATAATATATAACCTATGATATAAGTAATAACCTATTATATAAGTTACAATCCTCCCCCTTGGCATTTGCTATTCCTTCTTAATCTATTTTTATTTCCTTAGCATTATCATCTTCTAACATACTATGTAATTTGCCTATTTTTATTTTTCATTGTTAATCTGGATAAACAATAAAATATACTTTTGTTTTTTGTCTGTCTCTCCCAATTAGAATGTAAGCTTCAGGAAGGCTGATATTTTTATCTTTTTTATTTATTCTTATATCCATAATACCTAGAAACCCTGTTGAGTGAATTGATAGATATTATTTAAAGATGTAGAGCTTAAAGCTTTACTGTTTTTGTGAATTTTACCCACAGATAGATTCACTTGTATGAAATGGCAGATATACAAGGTTATTTATCATAAAAGACTGAAAACTACCTAAATATCTTTCAGAAAGTCCTTGATTAAATAAATTATATTTATAAGTGAAAAAAAGGTGCAGCTGAAAAAAAAACTAAGGAAATTCTTTATGTACTAATATAGTACGACCTCCAAGATATATAAATAAAAAAGAGCCAAATTTACAACAATGTGTATAGCATACTACCACTTATTTAAAAAGATAGCCTATGCTAATTCTGGAAGGACCCTCAGAACTAGAAACATTGGTTCCTCCAAGAAAAGGAACTACATGGCTAAGGAACAAGGGTGGAAGACAGGGAGATTTTGTGTTACATACTCTTTTTTGCCTTCTGAATTTTGAACAGGTGAATACATTGCCATATAAAATAATTTTTAAAAATTTTAAATGCCATGAGACCAGGTAAACTTTTCTAGGAGAGAATGTAGATAGAGGTGGTAGAGGGAAGGGAAAGTGCTTCTCAGAATAACCACAAAATATAAATATTAACAAGAAAGTAATAAAATGATCATTATTAAGCTTTGAGGAAACCGATGTTCAGAAAGATTTAAGTGACTTACCTTAAGTTATTCAGCCAGTAAATTCCAGTTTGAATTTTCTGTTTATTCCAGACTGTACATTTTAAAGTTGTTTATATTTCTAAAAGTTATGCAGTTGCCATTTAGATTGGTTACCTATATAACTTGAACAGTATAAATAGTGTCATACTTAATTTATGAGATGAGCATGAATTTTGTGTTGAGAACAAACATAATTTATACACTTGAGGTCCTGTGCTCATAAGATCATGTTTTCTGAATGGTTTTTACTTGTATGATAATGTGTTCTGATGATTTATTTGGATTTTTCAAGTTATTTATTTTTTATTTTATTAAGGTAAAATACATGTAACAGAATTAACCATTTTAAACTGAACAGTTCTGTGGCATTTAGTTGTGGCACTGTTGTGTAATGACAATCTCTATCCATTTCCAAAACATTTTCATTACATCAAAGTAAACTCTGTACCTAATAAGCATTCCCTGCCCTGCTTACTCCCTCCCCCTCATACTATCTCCCCTCAGCCTCTGGTAACCGTCAGTCTGTGCTCTGTCTTGATGGATTTACTTATGCTATTTCATGTACATAGAAACATGTAATATGTGACCTTTCATGTTTATCTTATTTCATGTTTTTGAGGTTCATCTACATTGTAGCATTTACCAGTACTGTATTCCTTGTTATGGTTTAATAACATTCCATTGTACGTATGTACCACTATTTGTTTATTCATTTATCTGGCCATGGACATTTGAGCTTTATTCTACCCTTTGACTATTGTGAATAGTGCTTCTGTGAATATGTGTGTGCATGTATTTGTTTGAGTACCACTTTTCAGTTCTTTGGGGTATATACTTAGAGTGGAATTGCTGAGGGGTGTGTGTGTGTGTGTGTGTGTGTGTGTGTGTGTGTGTGTGTGTAGAAGTAGTATCTATATAATTACCTTTACTTTAACCAAAATTCTTTACTTCTTTATATGGCTTTGAGTTATTGTCTTGTTTGCTTTCCTTTCAGTCTGAAGGACTCTCTTTAGCATCTCTTGTAGGACAAGTCTGCTAGTAATGAACTCTCTTAGCTTTTGTTTATCTGAGTTAGATCTAAATTTCTTCATTTTGTCATATATAGAATTCTGTTGACAGAATTTTTTTCTTTCAGCACTTGAAATATCGTACTCACTTCCTGCCTCCATGGTTTCTGATGAGAAATTATCTGTTAATCTAATTGGGTACTCCTTCCATGTGAACAATTGCTTTTCTCCTGCTGCTTTCAAGATTGTCTTTGGCTTTGACAGTTTGAGTATAATGTGTCTTGGTGTGGGTCTTTCTCAGTTTACCATACTTGGGGTTCATAGAGCTTCTTGGATGTATAGACTCATGTCTTTCATCAAATTTGGGAGGTTGGTGTTCAGTCATTATTTCT